CTCGACCACTGCCTGTGACACAGTATTCGCTCAGCGGCTGCTTCTAGACCGATGTCAGCCATCTCACCCATGCCAACGTCACGCCGCCATGCAGATTGACCGTCACAGTCGTACACTCGGTGTTGAAATGTGCCTGCCTTAGCTCGGCGCCAGCGGCACAAGTCGGTCATGGAGCACCGTTACCTATAGATTTGTTTCTCTGGGTAAGCAGGTCTCCAGCAATGTATGTTACAACAAGATCTGCTTGGATATGCTCACTCCGTCCCCTCATGTGCTGAAACTCATGCTTGACTGGCTTACAGTACGGTATATTATCTCATCCAAAATGGTTTTGGGCTTGGCTCTCTCGGGACCATCGGAGGCTACGGCGAATGAGGATTTTGAGGGTCTGGATGCTCATGTTGAGGAGATCTACTAAGCGGCCCTTGGAGTCCCGCCACGTAGCGTAATCGTCTGCTGCCCAGCCAATGCGCATGAGGGTCTGGACGACCGCGCCAGCTGGTCCTAAAGCAGAAATCCACCCAACTGCCGACGAAGACAACGAAGCCTCGAGGATGGTTGAAAGCGTTCGCCGGGCAGCCACTCTGGTTGCACTGCGGCGTGCCATGTAACCAAAGGAGGCGCGTTGACAACAAAATCAGGGTCGAGGCCGGGAAGGTCCACGAGCAAGAACTGCACCGCACGAGAGCGTCCCTTGTCTGTCCCCAAAAGGAAACGGTGCCACGAATCTCAACTTGGCCAGATCAGAGTTGGGCATGCCATGTACTCGTACCTCATACGTTGCTGCTGCCACCCCTCCTGCTCTAACCACACGTTTTAGCCCCCGACGATGATGTTTCAAGGCTCGGAGTCGACCTGATCTCTTCCTGATGCCCCAAATACGCTGCTTCAACGTCTTCTTACCTCTCACTGCTTGCATCCCAAAATCACGCCCGAGGCTTTTAACCGTAGAGTGGGCACGGGAAGCGAATATTGACAAGGCCTTCTGGAACCGCTCGTGTCAAGCCCGTGCAAACGCTGGCGCTTGAATGCCGCTGCAGTGGGACGTGGCCGCCGTGGTCGCCGCCGCCGCCGCCGCCCCTCGCCGCCAACAACTGCCACCGCCGCCGCCGCCAGCACCACCGCCGACGACGACCGCCGCTGCAGCCGACCGCTGCCGCCCAACGCCGCTCCTTGCCGCATCCGACCGCGGCCGCCGCAGCCGCCGCCGGGCGGCGCCGGCACGCCTCCAGCGCGTCGGAGAGCCGGACCGCCTCGCCGCGCGCGGCGAGGGCCTCGCGGGGGCGGCGCCCGTCGCAGGCGGCCTCGGCTCGACGTCGGCGGCCGTCGGCGTCGCCTCTGGGCATCCCTCGGCGAGGTCGTCGGCCAGGCCGTCGGCGGCGTCGTGGTCGTTGGTCGCGGTCGTGGTAGTCGCCGTCGTCTTCGTCGTCCTCGTCGTCGTCGTCGTCGTCCGCTTGGCGTCGGCGGCCGTCGGCTGCCCTCGGCGAGGACGTCGCCGCCCTCAACCAGGTCGCCGTCGCTACTATCTTGGTCGTGGTCGTGTTCGTATTCGTGTTCGTGATCGTGGTCGTCGTGGTCGTGGTCGTGGTCGTGGTCGTGCTCGTGGTCGTCGTCGTCGTGGTATTCGTCGGCGGCCGCTCAACCGAGGCGGCCGTCGGCTGCCCTCAGCGACCTTTGGCGAGGTAGCCGTCGCACTCGGTGTGATTATCGTCGTGGTTATCGTCGTCGTCGTCGCGCCGTCGTCCTCGTCGTGGTCGTGGTCGTGGTCGTGGTCGTGGTCGTGGTCGTGGTCGTCGTCGTCGTCATCGTCGTCCGCTCGACGTCGTCGTCGTCGTAGTCGTAGTTGTCATCAGCGTCGTCGTCGTGGTCGTCGTCGTCGTCGTCCGCTCGACGTCGGCGGCCGTCGGCTGCCCTCCGCGAGGTCGTTGTCGCCCTCGGAGAAGTCGTCGTCGTCGACGTCGTCGTCGTCACCGTCGTCGTCGTCGCCGTCGTCGTCGTCGTCGTCGTTGTCGTTGGTCGCGGTCGTCGTCGTCGTCGTCGTCGTCGTCGTCGTCGTGGTCGTCGTCGTCGTCGGCCGCTCGACGTCGGCGGGCGTGGGCTGCCCTCGGCGAGATCGTCGTCGCCCTCGGCGAGGTCGTCGTGGTCGTCGTCGTCGTCGCGAAGGTCGTCGTGGTGGTCGTGGTCGTCGTCGTCGTGGTCGTCGTTTTTCTAAATTGTTTGAACTTGTCTGCATGCCAATCGAATGTTCGTTCTTGGCTCATGTGAAACAAGCCTTCGAATACACTGCGCTACAGGCGAGAGTGTTAGCCCGACTGAGCTAACCTGACAGACAACTGGAGCTAAACCTGAATCAAACGCGAACTATGGATACAAAGCTAGGCGCTAAGCTAGGCAAAGGCAATTCCTGCACACACAAGCACGAGTCGAAGCCTAAACCCAAGCCTGACCATGAGAATGCTACAGGCTCAACCGTTCGCACAGCTGCGCCGACCTAAGGTACTACCATGGCCGAGCTCAGCAGAGGCCCAGCCAAGCCAGAGCGAGTCAAACCAGACCGAGCCGCGAACGAGGGAGATCACGCGGCGGAGCTGCAGAGCAAGACGGGGAGCTGGCTCAGAGGTGCCGGGGCTCTGTTTTACTGCACGCCCACGGGCTTCCCGACGCCGAAGCTCCAGCGCATCCCCGCCGAGTTCGACAGCGACCTGATGCTCCCCGCGGGAAGCCCGGGGCTCAGCGGGGAGTAGTGCCGCGGGAGGCCGATGGGCCGGCTGCACGCAGGAGCGGCCCCTGGCAGAGGTGGCCTTGGGCGCACGCCGCGCGGCTCGCCGATCGTGCTCCTGACGTGCCCGCGGCGTGGGAAAGAGTGCACGACGGGCGGGCGTTGGGCCGCTTTCGACCTCCAGGGGTCCTCTCGGGGCCTCAGGACCGTCAGAGAACTGCCCAGGATGAAGAAGCAGCCCCAGAAAAAGGGTCGGAACCTCCGGGGGCCTCGCGCTGCAAACCCTGGCTTCCGACGTAGCGCAGAAACTGCAACATCGTGAAACAAAAAAATGATGGTGACGAAGGGCCCAACCGTATGCAGCTGTGAGTATCGCAGATGTGGGTATCGCCTTCGGTGGAGCTCCTTATGGGGCCACGAAGCGTGTAAAGGGTGTGCCGAAATAGGGCAGGGACGCATGCGGGCGCAGCCATTGGGGCCTTCGATGGCGATCCATATGGGGCCACGAAACTTGTGAGGGGTGTGCCGACATGGAGCGGGGCCACCATGCGAACGTCGCCAGTGGGGCCTTCGGTGAAGCCCCCTATGGGGCCACGAAGCGTTGTACTGAGCGGGGGAGACGCATGCGAACACCGCCACTGGGACCTTGGGTGGAACTCCCTATGGCGCCACGAAGCGTTGTACTGGGTGGGGGAGATGCATGCGACCACCGCCGCTGAGGCCTTCGGTAGAGCTCCCTATGAGGCCACGAAGCGTTGTACTGGTTGGAGGAGACGCATGCGAACACCGCCACTGAAACCTTCGGTGAAGCCCCCTATGCGGCCACGAAACACCGTGCCCGGTGGGGAAACGCATGCGGACACCGCCACTGGAGCCTTCGGTGGAGTTCCCTATGCGGCCACGAAACGTTGTACTGGGTACGGGAAACGCATGCTGACACCGCCACTGGAGCCTTCGGTGGAACACCCTATGGGGCCACGAAACGTGTGAGGGGTGCGCCTCAGTGGAGGTGGAACTGCGCGCGAACCCTGCCATCGGGGCCTTCGGTGGGACACACTATGGAGCCACGAAACGTGTGGGGGGTTTGCGAAATTGAGGTGGAACTGCATGCGGACCCTGCCAGTGGGGCCTTCGGTGGAGCACCCTATGGGGCCCCGAAACGTGTGAGGGGTGTGCCGAAGTGGAGGTGAACTGCATGCGGACACTGCCACTGGAGCCTTCGGCGGAGCACCCTATGGGGCCAAGAAACGCATGAGGGTGCGCCGAAATGGAGGTTTAACTGCATGCGGACCCTGCCGTTGGGGCCACGAAACGTGTGAGGGGTGCGCCGAGATGGGCATGCGGAGGGCAGAGGCAGGGAGTGGAGGAGGGAGGGGAGGAGGAGGAGGAGGAGGAGGAGGAGGAGGAGGAGGAGGAGGAGGAGGAGGAGCGGGAACGCGGGGCGCTGTCTCTTCAAAACGAGGACCCAGCACCACAAGATGGTTGGGGAAAAACACGCCCGGAGCCCTAGACTCCATCTTTCTGCGTCATTGTTCGAACCGGATCGATCTGTGAGGGTCCTGGAGCCCGCAAAAATGCGAAAACGCCTGGCTCGAAAAAATTGAGACGCTAGGATCTCAGGAATCACCTCAGCTAACCCCGCGCCGATCCCAGTCGCCCGAGACCCCTGCAGAGGCGAACTTCGTCGTGCACGCGCCGACGGCGACGATGCATCGCTGCGTCGCCGATGCATCTGCGATGCAACTCGAACAAAAATTCGGTGCCAGGGTCTCAGGGAAGTCAGTCCGGCAGTCCGGCCTCTACTGACCCGGGCCAATGCAAACCTGGGTCAGTCAGGCTTTGCAGGATCCTGCAGGATCCTGCAAGATCCTGCGGGATCCTGCGCCCTAACCCATGTCAATGCGCCACTGGCTCGGCAGGAGCCTGCAAGATCCAGCGCTCTGGCTGACCCCCGTTTGCACTGACCTCGGTGACCTCGGTCGCTTGAGCCCCGAGCCAAGCTCAGGGAGGCCACTCCAGCCAAGGGCCCCTCCTGCGTGCCAGCCGAGGCAGGGCGTCGGCGCGGAGGAGGCGGCGACGGACCTCGGCGGCGCTCGGGCAGCGAGTGAGCAAAGGGGCTCCTCGCCCTCCTCCAGCTCCTCCTCCTCCTCCTCCTCCTCCTCCTCCTCCTCCTCCTCCTCCTCCTCCTCCTCCTCCTCCTCCTCCTGCTCCTCCTCCAGCTCATCCTGCTCCTCCCCCTCCTCCTCCTCCTCCTCATCCTTCTCCTCCTCCTCCTCCTCCT